GAAATGTTTTGGAAAGTTTTGTATACGCTGACTTTACCCACATCTGGGGCCCCACCTAGGGGTTATCCCTATCCCTAAGCCTGCAGGCCAGGGAATGCTGAAGACAGCTGTTGATATTGGTATATATTGCTGCCCATTCTAGCTCTACAGCTATGGCTTCTCTGACGTCCCCTCCTCCTGGTATGACCAGGTTTCTCTCATGACTGCCTTCGTTTGTTGGCTTCTACTCCTTACAACCCTGCCTCCTTTTCAAACTCCCTCCTATTCCCACATCCAACCTCTATTTTTAAGTTCTCCTTCATAAATCTCCTTTTTCAAAAAGTTTTCAGGCAACCTAACAATGCCCTGGCCCTTTTTTTTTCTTTTTCCTGTTATATTGCCAAAATTTGGGCTTGCCTAGAGGGCCTCTCCTAGAGTGAGGTGGTTTTTTGTGGTTAAGTACTCTGCATTTTTATAGCAGTTAGCACTTCAGCCAATTGGCTACCATTATTGTAAAACTGAGCACTGAATTTGAGTCCTGACGTTAATGCTTACCAGCTGTGTGACCACTGGTAACCACAGTTGCATTTTCTATAAAAAGGAGATAATAATACTTGCACTGCCTAGTTCAGGGGGTCCTTGTGAGCAGTGGTCCTCTATAAGCCTTAAAGCAGCTAGATGGCTCAATGGATAGAGCGGTGGGCCTGGCAGCAGAAGACCTGAGTTTAAATGTGACCTCAGATACTTACTAGCCGTGTAACTCTGGGCAAGTTACTTAACTCCTGTTTGCCTTAATCCACTGGAGAAGGAAATGACAAATCACTCCAGGATCTTTGCCCCAAAAAACTTCACGGACAGTACTGGCGGGCTGTGGTCCACGGGGTCACAAAGAGTAGGACACAACTGAACAACAGCAACTTTATAAACATAAGTCCCTATTACTCTCAGTGATGAGGGGAGGCAGACAGGAGTGCTCGAGGCAGATGGAGCTGGCAGGATGCGAGATATGAGATAAGATGCAGGGTGCGACCAGCTAGAAAAGGGATCAAAGAAGACTATGCTTTGAAGCTCCCCACCTGTGTACTTTCACAAAGCACCCCCAATTCCAGAACAACTCTTCCCTTCCCCTCTCCTATTCTCTTTGCTTATCTGTGTGATAAAGGCAACTCTGGACTACCTGATATCCCAGGCATTTCAGAGCCATGCTTGCTCCTCCCATTCTCTCATCCCCCTTCCCCTTATTCCATAAAATTGTATTTAAACCAGACACCAAACCCCAATAACCGCCTTTGCCTCCCATGGGAGGTGGGGCACTCTGCTCCCTTAGGGGACCGAAAGGCATATGTGCTGGCTTTCACATGTGTGGAAGCAGGCCTGCTTGAGTGCGTCACCCCAATAAATGCCTTTCTTTAACTTGGAGAACTGGCCAAGTGAATTTCTTTCAGGACAGTAGAACCCACATGACTATTCCTCATCATTTCAGGTGGCAACCCCATCATTCTCGGGGTGCACACTGAACTCATCAACAAGAATAACAGAATTAATCTGATTTGGCTTCTAAATCGTAGGATCATAGAGCTAGAACTGAAGAAGACCTTAAATCTAGTCTAACTTCCTCATGTTACAGTTGAGGAAACCGAGGCCCAGAGAGTTGATGTTGCCAAAGTTACACAGGCAGCAAAAGGCAGAGCTGTGATTCTTCTGTTAAGCTGAGCTCTGGATATTCTAGTTCTCATAAGCATGTATGAATATATGTAAGGCCTCCTTCATTTCACATAACTGATATATTTGTCAGGGAATTTGTTCTAAATTAAGTCATTTTAAATGTAGCCAGAATGTTCACTAGAATCTTGAACTAAATCTCTTTTATTTTATAGTAGGGAATCATCCCCTAACTCTATATTCATACCAGGTTTGTTTAAAGCAAGGTCCTCCCCATGTGCAGTTACTTCTTTTAGCTCCATACAGAGGTAGTGATATAATCTGTTATAGACCAGAGAGCTGTGCCGCCTCAGACACCAGATAGCCAGCTGAGCCTGGCCAAGTTAGAATTATTGGACGTGTGATGTGTGTGTACGTATTTTTACTGTGCAATAAGAGCAGGCAGGGCTGTCTTGCTCCTCTTTCTCGGCTGAGGAGCTCTTCCTCTGAGTTGCTGCAGATTTGGATTATTACAAGAGAGGTAGTAACAAAGTCAAGTTTACTAGAATATCCTGAAAAATCTCTCTGGTTTTTATAGCTGATTTTAGACTGGAGAAGGGAGGCAGATTTGGTTTTGTAAGTATTCCTAATAGGTTGACAGTGGGGCTGAATTCATTTTTTTTTCTAAATTCATTATTCATGTTACGGTGTCTAATGTCCTCTCCTGTTACTGTTGTTGTGAAGGTTAACTGAGAACCATGTCTGGGAAAATACTTTGTCAGGCACTTGTATCATTTAGGTACCTAGTAAGCTAGAAACTGCTATAACCTGGTGGTCTGGATACTTGGGTCACTGTCCAGGCCTTAGCCTTAATTCTCTCTGTGACCTTGTTGAGTTAAGTTGGCCCTATGGCACAAAATCTCTCATGGCCCTGACAGCACTCATCTCACTCTTGACCCCATGGATTTGAAGTGATTGTATATATCTGAAAGTGATAATACCGCTTTCCTTTAAAAATAGGACAGTCTCCATTTTAGATTGTCAGGCTCAACCCAAAGGAAAGAGCTTTTATTGTACAATAAATGCTACTCTTGTAGAAGAAAGGGAGAATAGGAGAAAATGACAAGATTAGACTAGTTAGTCAGAGGATCACAGATTTAGAGCTGGAAGGACCTTAGAGGTCATGTAGTCCAAATCCCTCATTTCACATGTGAGGAAAGGTTTGAGAGTTTAGGTAACTTGCCCAAGGTCACACAAGGGGTAGCAGGTCAGGATCTCTAAGGTCCTTCCAGTTAGTGATTAGAAAAATTATATTTGGCTTCAGAATGCAGCCAGGAATATGCATAGATATTCACATTTAACCTGTATGCCCAGCCCTGGCTATAACCCTTTTGTCTTTACAGCAATCATCTTTCTAAGGAAGAAGAGCATAGGATCATAAATCTAGAGTTGGAAGAGATCTTAGAAGTAATCTAATCCATCCTTTTATTTTACAAATAAAGAACGTGAAGCCCAGAGAAATTAGTTTATTGGTCCAAGGTCACATGGGTAAGTGGCAGAGTCTGGATTTTAACTCAGGTCCTGTGATTCCCACATTCAGGTGTCTTTCTACTGTATAATTCTACCTGCCAGGGGGCATGAAGATTACTTCTCTCTGCCCAATGAGAGATTTTGTAGGGGTGAAAAAAGATAAGCTTGTCATTCTAAAACAGAAGTAGGGAATAACCCTGCTTAAAGCCCTCAATTTAATTTCATCTAGTTCAGGGAATTCTTAATCTTTTGAATGCATCTTGGATCCCTTTGGCAATCTGGCAAAGCTTATGGACCCCTTCAAAGAATGATGTTTTTAAATGCATAAAATAAAAGGAAGCCAGTTTTATTGAAATACAATTTTCAGATCAAGTTTACAGACCCCAGGGTAAGAATTCGTGCTCTAGTTAATGAGAGGAGTAAAAAAAAAAAGAACACCTTATCTCATTATCCTTTATCTCATAGTTGTGGAACTATAATATTGAATTGTCTTTTGTAGTAATAATCTTAAAATGCTACATGATTAGAATGTTGCTTCATGAAAATTTGTCTACTGATGTCTCCTCTTTGCTTTCTCATATCACTTTTGTGATTGTCACCTGCTTCTTTTTGTCTGACACCTTCTCCCTTACCCTTCTGTTGCTTCTAAATAAAATTAGTCTTGATATAGAAATTGACTTTTGAAATACTTATTTATACTTTGTGATTGTCTAGAAAAAGTTTGTCTCTCATCTCATTTTGTAAAACAATTTGTTCTTCATTCTAAGAGGCAGCTAGGTGATGCAGTTGATAGACCTGAATTCAAATCCAGCCACTTCTTGGCTCTATGACCCTGCGCAAGGCACTTACCCTCTCTTTGCCTCAATTTCCTCAGTTTCAGAAAGGGGATAACAGTAACACCTACCTCACACTTGTTGTAAGGATCAAATGAGATAATATTTGTAAAGTGCTTAGCACAGTGTTTGGCATGTAGCAGGAGCTTAATAAATGCTTATTCCCTCTTCTCCTTCCTTTATCCTATGCCACCCTTATCCCAGTATTCCTCTTCTGCCCCTACTTCTACTTATTCCCTAGTCTTGAAATATTAAAATATCTAAAACCCACATTTACATTTTTTAGTTTTTGTCTGTGGGGAAACTGGTTAGTATGTAATCAACAATGAATTAATGGGGAATGATTTTTTTTTCACTATTGGGTCAGTGGCTTCATAGAAAATAAAACTGGTTCCCACCTCTGTGTTAGAGATACTAGTTACTGTTCTTGCCCTAGCAGCAGGGAAAGGTTGGCCTTCCTACTCAGGTGGCTTTATCGGTATTCTGGGAAGCATCATTTACAGTGTAGGCATGCCCTAACTTGTCGTCCTCTGAAGGTTCCGCTCCTGATAGGAAGCTGAGGCAGGAACATGCCAACAGTGACTTGGTAGTCACAACAGAAGTGCAGCAGATGCTTGGCATAGAAGGACCTTACTTCTCTTTCCTAGTTAGAATGGGGTGAGGAAGTGTGAATAAAGGTGATTTGTAGTTGAAGATCAAAATCCTGAGTCTGATCAGGACAGGTCTTAAGGTTTGTTTAATTTGGGTTCCACTTATGGAGTCCCCACTTGATTCTGGGACCTGTACTAACTCCTCAAAATGCAGGTAACAGAATGCTATGTTTTCACAAGCTGCATTGGAAGGATTTGGCAAAAGGGGAAGTTATGACTTTAGACTTCCTCAAAAAGTTGCTTTTTTGCAAACAGTGTTTATGGCTTTAGAGTTCTTTTCATCTTTAGCCAAATTCCATGATAGGTGGGAAGAAAGGGTGCATTGAATGGTAAGAAAAATAATTACTTTTTTCCTGTTCCTTTCCAGTTTCCTTTAAGGAGCTGAAAGCTGATGGGCCCTGAACTAGGGAGAGTAAGAAGTCTCTCCTCAGTGATGGCACTCAGTGAAGAAAAGACTTTGGCAGAGAGGGAGACTGAAGCAGAGACAGTGCTGGATGGGAGCGTGAAGCACCATGGAGGTTGGAACAGCCAGAAACTAGAGACAGACTGCTCCATGGCTCTGGGCAGCATGCAACATTTTCTAGATGCCAGTGGAGGAAAATGCGTCCCACTGGGGGAGGAAGAAGAGCTGACCAACAGGAAGGCCATGCCTGACCACATTGCTTCGGCTGGAGTGTGGAAGAAACACCATATGGACAAAGAAGATAAAACCCAGACCTCAGAGAGAGACTCCTTCATCTTTGGATCTGAACCTGTTTATAGCCATTTGCTTCCTGAAGACAGGACTGGAACAGGAACAGGAGACGTTTTGCTTGAAATAGGAGCCCAGGTAGGAAATGTTGCTTATGGTATGTTGGATTTATAGATTACCTTTCTTGCAGGTCACTGTGGCTTTTAGTCAGATACTGTTTTATTTGTTCACTCTCATCATTATAAAATGTGAGATAGGAGCCTAGATCCCTGTTTTATGGATGGAAAAACTGAGATGTGATGAGGTCAAGTTATCCTTATGTAGGTGATTGGCCCCAGAGGTCACTAGCAAGGAAAGGTCAAAGTTAAATGTCATCTCTAAGATAGAACACTGTGCACTGGATTACCCACCCTGCCCCGGTTATAGGCATGTGGGGCACTTCATCATTCCTTTGATTATGTCTTATTTCCCCACCCTCAGAAAACTGCATTGTACTTCTCTATGTACTTTTTATTTACTTATTTGTATAAATGTTGTCCCCTACCACCACCTCAAGGAGAATGTAAACTCCTTAAAGTGCAAGAGCTGGTTTGCTCTTGTATCTGTTTCTCCTGTACTTGAACCATGCCTGGCACTTAGTAAACACTTAATAAATGTTTATTGATTCATTGTTTTGGCATCCAGGGACCCAAGGCAAAAGTGGAGGTTATTTGTAAAATGGGGTTAATAATGTAGTACTACCTGTACTACTAATGATACAAGTACTACCTGACAGGATGATGGTGGAATTCAAGTAAGAGACAGTAGATGTATGTAAAATGGGCTTTCAGAATCTAAAGTGCCATGTAAATATTAGCTGTCATTAACTAGACTCTGAGAGACTGCCAACCCTCAGGTTCTGTTCTCTGATGGCACAATAAGGAGTTATAAAGGACATTAGGCCTTCATTTATCCTACTTCCACTCCCCTCAAACATGAAGCCAGGGTGCCAGCATCCCAACTAGAAGAGAATCTTGTGCTGTCATCCTAGGAAGCTTTTGTGGTTGAGGTGTGTACTCCTCCTTACTCATGAAGAGAAGGTGGCATTTGATCAGAGTCTGGAGAAAAACCAGGAATTCCAAAAGATGGAGGTGAGGAAGGGGAGGGCATTCTAGGCATGGCTTAGAGACAAGAGATACAGTGTCATGTGTGAGTAATAGCAATAAAGCCAGTTTGGATGGATTGTAGAGTGGGTAAAAGGGACTAATCTGTTGAAAGTTTGGAACGGTAAGTTGGGGTCAGGTTGTAAAGGGCTTTGAAGGTCAAATGGAGGAGTTTCTGTTTCATCCTAGATGAATAGGAGCCACTGTAGTTTATTGAACAGAGAGGTGATATGGGTAGATCTATGCTTTAGGAAAACCACTTTGGCTGTTGTGTGGAGAATAAAGGAGAGTGGGGAAAAACTCTTGGCTCAGAGACCCATTAGGAGGCAGTAGTTTTGATTAGAGGTGATAATAGTTAAAAGGACTAAGGTGGTGGCTCTTCCAGTGAAGAGAAGGGTACAGATGCAAAAAAAAGGGGGGAGGAGGTACAAGACAAGATTGGGCAACAGGTTGGCTGTGTGGAATAAGGGAGAGATAACCAGGGTTACACAACCAGGTGACTGGAGGGGAAAAAGATAATGGGTTCTGTTTTAGACAGGTTGCATTTGAGATGCCTTTGGAACATTCATTTTGAAATGTCTGCTAGGTGATGCAGGACTGGAGCTCAGGAGATTGATTGGGGCTGAAGATCTAGATGTTGGAGTCACCTATATAGAAATGGTAAATAAGCCTGTGGATTCTGGTGAGATCACTAAGTGACAAAGTATAGAGAAAGAAGAGGCCTTGGATAGAACCTTAGGGTACTTTTCTGGGTCTTTATTCATTCAGATGTTTATCTTCCTTTTGAAATCAGTTGACACTTCCTTGTGAAGAAATCCTGACCTCAAGTATCAGAGAGAAGATAAAGGATCCTTTCTAGCATCTATCTGTATTATCCAAGAGCTGAGCAGTCTGGTCAAAGTTGTATGAAACACAGTAGATGGATTTTGAGGGCCCTCAGGCTCACAAGAATCAGAGATGTGGTATTGGAATATAGTTAGTTCCAAGGGCATGAGTTTAGCCATGTTTCTGTCATTGGACTATTTGAAAATGCTAAAGGAAAATTTTGAGATTCTCCTAATTTTTCCCTCCTTTTTATTTTATTCTTTTTTTGGGGGGGTGGGGTGAGGCAATAGGGGTTAAGTAACTGGCCCAGGGTCACACAGCTAGTGAATGTTATGTGTCTGTGACCAAATTTGAACTCAGGTCCTCCTGACTCCAGGGCCAGTGCTCTATTCACTTCGACACCTAGCTGCCCCCTTTTTATTTTATTCTTCAGGAGTTTTGTTTGTTTGTTTTTTTGTAAACCTTATATGCTTACTGACAATGGGTATCAGTAGTAACTTATCAGTAACTTCATATCCCCTTCTTATCTTTCTGAATTACATATTCACATCTATGTGTACTTAATGATACTTCAAGGAGGTTTAATTTCAGCCAAGACCTCTTTCATTGACAAACTTCACTAAAGTATTCTTGAGCTGCTGTAGCTGAAAAATTCATCACCCTGTACATGATGATAAACTTTCTGAAGTTAGCTAGACTTGTCCTTGGATGACACAGACTTGGAATCCTTTCTAATTTGTGTAGGACCTACATTCCATTGGCAATAAGCTCCAGGAACCCAGGATCAGTACTCCACAATGAGGCATTAGAGGAGAACTTACCTTAAAATGGCATCGGCTAAGAGAGGCAATAAGGCCTAGTGAATAGAGTGCCACTGGGATTTCAGAAACTTTTGAATTCAAATCCTACCTCTGACACTTAATAGCTGTGTGACCCCTGCAAGGTCTCCTTAAACTCCTCTGTGCCTCAAGCACTATCTTACGATTTAGGTTGAATTACCATTGGGTTACAGTCTAACCCACCTCACAGGTCCTGCCTTTATCCTTTAAATAAATCTATTATTGGGGCAGCTAGGTGGTGCAGTGGATAGAGCACTGGCCCTGGAGTCAGGAGGACCTGAGTTCAAATTCGGTCACAGACACATAACATTCACTAGCTGTGTGACTCTGGGCAAGTCACTTAACCCCAATTGCCTCACCCCCCCCCAAAAAAATGAAAGCTGTTATTTAGTGGTACTCCTTATTCTGCTTTTCTTTAATTGGAGCTCTTTAATATTACCACAATCACAAGTTCTTGAAGTAATGAACTGTTATTTCACATAAGAGAGCTGAGTTATACACTGGTATTTGAACATGCAGTCAAAACAGAAGGAGAGTGTAGCTGTGCAGGGTGCCTTCTCCTAGTCCTGGAATCACTATGAAGAAGATTCATAGACAGAATGGCATCCTTCCTACCTGAGACATTTCTCAAAGATTTTCTACAAAAAAAAAAAGGATGATTTATTCCATTTCGGGAGGGACGTGAGTTTGGTACCAGTCATCACCGGCCTATTTGGCTAACCCCCATCCTAAATGGGCAGTCTTTGGTGTTTTTCCATTTATCTGTTGGGAAAGAAATCCTATGAAAGCTGTTTTCTCTATTCCAAGACAGTAGCATTGTGCTAATACCATTCATCAGATTCTTTGAGTCTTACAGTTTGGGTATCCTTGAATTTTACATTCTAAAGGGTTCTTTTCCTAAGTGAGGCCTTTTGGTTGTCTTCCAGGTACCAAATAAAAGTCCTTGGCCCTGTTATCTTAGCGAATTGCTTTAATACAGTCACCTCTATGGTTACATTTTTTCTGTCTTCCTTCCCTTTCTTCCTTCTTTACTACAGATGGAGGAGAAATTGTGTCTTGACTCTCCAGAGCTACCTCAGAATATAGCTGATCCTCTAGCTAGGACTCTCAGCTCAGGAGAGGTTGCTGATGATGAAGATGACCACTCCAGTTTTGAATCCCCCCGAATCCATGGTCTGAGGCAACAACCTTACATCTCCAGTTCTTCTTTCTCCTTGAGGTGGAAATCTTTGCTGAACCTAGATTTATCTGCGCTTTCTCTTTCCAGCCACAGCTTTCCCACCTCACCTACCCCAAATGGTTTCCTAAGGCTGAGAGAGGAAACAGGATCCCAAAGCCTGTGGCCTGCTAAAAGCTCTTCACTTGAGCCCACAGCCTCACGTTTACCATCTGATTCATTGAGCGCTGCATTGGGCCCCATGCTTCCAACACATGGGATGCCACGTTTAGCATCCCAAAGTGGTGGAGCTGTAGCTGAGGCAAGCAGGAGGCGGTCCTCTTTTCAGACTGATTACTGGGCCTGTGTGCTGCCTGATTCCCTGCCTCCATCTCCTGATCGTCACTCCCCTCTTTGGAATCCAAATAAAGAGTATGAAGACTTGCTTGATTATACTTACCCTATAAAGCCCAAGGCCCAGCTTCCAAAGCACATTGACAGCCATGTACTGGCTGACACCTTCCTGCATGACTCAGGTGTTGACCTGGACAGCTTTTCCCTCTCACCTGAGAACACCCTGAAGTCCCCTGCTACTCTGTCCCATGACTGCCTACCAACAGAACCAGATGTTCAACTCCCTCCAGAACCCAGAAACTGTGATGACAGGTTTTCTGCTGTGGTTTCCCAGACCCAGGGCAGCTTCGGATTAGCAGCTTCTGGTCAATTTACATCGACTCCCAAAGCCAGTAGTAGACATGCTCTTCAGAATGACAAGGAGCAACCTCTAATGAACTTCAGGAAATCTCTACCTCTGGGAAGATGCCTTGAGGCACACTTGCCATCGCCTGGAGAATGGTCCCAAGGGAGTTCCTTTTCCACGGTTACAGGAAAGAATGGTGGGAATAGTGATCTCCAGTGTCTTTCCCATGAGGCTCCAGTGGAATCTGGGTGGAAAACACTGGAAGATACTGAAATTGAAGAAGAATATCTTGCTCTGCCCCCTCGGCTGACCCAGGTTTCCAGTCTGGCTTCATATCTGTGTACCATTCAGACACCCGATTCTCAGCCTTCTGTAGCCACTGAAGAGCAAGGTTTACCAGCTGCCTCTAGTGGTAAAGAGCCAACTCCCCTTCTGTACCATAGCAAAAGACAGTCTCCTACTTGGGAAGAATCCAGAGGGAAGTGGGGTACTCTAGATAGGGATTGTTGTACCCAGATGCCCCACTCTCAGTTCCAAGAACTTGACAGGGAATGTGATGCTAACATGTTGATCAGTCAGGACCCAGGAGGCCCAGCCAGCCGACTAAGGACAGTTTCCTCCTTTAGGAAAATGCTTGCTGGGCTGGCTTATTCTGACTTGAAACCAGAAGGGCAGCATCTAAAGAAAGAGAGGGACCAAGAAAGAGAATCCCTTCTACAGCATGTGAAGGTAAGAAAAAGAGAATGTAAAGTGATTTACACTTACTGCTCCCTGCCTCAGTCCCCCAAATTAAATTATCGTCTGGTCAGAGCTAAACTTTACTTTATAGTGTGTCATGTGGTAGATGGTCTCAACTCTCACTGTAAGAGAGGCCATGGTGATGGTTATAAAAGTGGGGTTCTCGATCCAAGGACTTTATAATTTCAGTGCAGACTCACATATTCCAAAAGTCAGACTATTCCTTCTTGGTAGAGTGTGAGAGAGTATGTGAGCTACCCCACTGGATCTCAAATACAGAAGCATGGCTTCATGTGCTGTGTATTACTTTGGAGGGCAGGGGGCATATGCAGGATTTCCCTTCTTGATTCTTCCTGTGGTCTGTCACTTAATAGAAACAATTTCTCCTATTTATAGAGAGCATTATACTTTGCATAAATAAAACTCATTTGTTCAGAGGAGATAATGCTGAGCAAATAATATCTCCGTTTTACAGTGAGGACACTGAGACATAAGAAAGTTGAAGTTGCTGACTGAACTAAAGCTACACCCAGGGACAGAGCCAGGGTTTGAATCCAGGTCTCTTGAATTATAGTGTAATAGAAAAAGCAATGACCTGGGACTCAGGAAACCCAAGTTGTAGCCTCAGTTCTGCTGAGGGGAAGTCACTGCGTCTTCGGTGAGTGACACCCTGTGAGGGCAGAGTATTTGTGTCTCTGGTGAGTTGCTGTAATGCAGTTCTTAGGGCTTTGGTTTCTTATCTATAGAATGAAGTATCTGAATTAGATGATGTTCTTCATCTCTTTTAGCTCTGAGATTCTGTGACTTCTTAGTGTTCTGGTCCTTAGGTTTGTGAAGAAAGATAGAGGATGCAGGTTTTTATTGCTATTTTCAGTAATGTTTTAAGGCCAGGGATGTTTGTAGCCATTTGTTTTAGGCTAACCTTTTTCAGCAGAAGTAGTTTTTTAAATTTAACATGCTAAAACAACCATACCAGCTGATATTTATGTAGCTCTATTATGAACATGGCTGCCCTTCCCCCAGATTTTTCACAGGCAATATTGCATTTTCTCAGTCTAGGTTATCATCTCTTTTTCTAGGTATTAACCCAGATGGTAGAGATACTGAACTAAAAGGTTAAATGTTTTTAAATGTCAGTCTGGTAGAGGACTTTTGCAGGGCAGGACTTCAAAAGTATAGGGAAGGCATCAGGGAGAAATGAGGTCTGAGAATCATTATTCATACATTAAGTAACCTTGGAAAAAGCCCTGTGTCTGCAGTAAAAGGATAGTAGTCCTTATATTGGGTATCCCTGGAACACAGATAAATAACAGTTATATTTGGCCTCAGTAGATGTTTTGCTGTTACCTGGAGGAGCTCATTTGCTGGCTGTATAAAGTAGTTGAAGTTACGGACAACCTGATTCCACCAAAGTCTAACCTTGCAAGTCTCAAGTCTTCCCTGCAGCTTTATCGGGTGAGTATAAAACCCCGTGTGTTCCTGTCCCATCTGGCCTCCACGAGGGGTGGTGGCTACATTATTTGGCATTAACATTATAAACTTTGGTCTTATCCTGGGAGCTAAGAGTCCCCCTGGCCAGGCTACTGGGAGGGGGCAATTTCCCTCTTCCTGCCAAAAGTAGAAAAAAGAAAGCTAATAAATCTGCTTAATGTGGAGCTTCTGGTTTTTTGGATTAGTAGCTCACTTTTACATAGCGCTTTAAGGGTTACAAAGCACTTTGCTTACAACAACCTTTGTGAAAAAGGCACGGCAAATATTATTAGCCCCATTTTCCAAATGAAGATAGTGAGTTTTAAACAAGGTGAAGTGATACACTCAGCTAGTGAACATAAGAGCCAGGTGCTGTGCTGAGCCCAGGCATTTTATACTATCCAAAGCTGCCATCTCTGTTAATCATTATTAGCTGGATTACTTGATTCGTTTCCCTAGTACTCTGTCTTGGTAAATTACTTCCAGACCTGTGAGGGCAGAGTATTTGTTTTCTAGCAAATAAGGTAATTTAGCGAGGATTGTTTCCTTAAGATTCTTTCTGTAAATTGTTATAACCTTTGAAGTGTAGAATGCCTAACTGAGAGCTATTCCAGAGAGAGAAGCTGTTGTTTTATTTTGTCTGAACCTGGGCTCTGTCAAGTTGACTAAGCCAGGTTCCTGTTCCACCCTGTTCTTAGGGGTTTCCCCCCTTTGTTAGAGTTGAATGAAATGTATCATACAAGGGAAAGGCTTGGTGGGGAGTACGGGAAGTCTAAGCTGGTCCAGTCCTTCTGGAATGGCCCACTCTTGAGGGGACTTGGGACTTACTCTGGGGCTAAACATGTGAGGCAGGTTTGTCATGGAGGGTCAACTTAGAGTAAGATGGGATCGTGACAGAAATAATTAGAGGCTGACTTCTATCTATGCCTCCAAAAGCCTACACAAAGAAAACATGCTATAATGGAAAGATTGCTGGATCTGGAGTCAGAGGAACTGGGTGCTAATCCTGGCCCTTCCACCAGTGCAACCTTGGACAAGTGACTTAAATTCTCTTTGGCATGTTTCCTTATTTATAAATGAAGGGGTTAGTCTAGATGACAATCAGAGGTCCTTCCCAGCTCTAAATCTGTGATCTTACTGAGTCTGGCTATGAGTTAGTAGTTAGAAAAACCTCCAGAGGAAACGCAGTGGATAACTTTTGTCTTACCTTGGTTAGCCAGGTGTCACAGTGGTCCGAGTGGAAGACGAGTTCAAATCTATCCTCAGACACAATAGCTTGTAACTCCGGATTAGTCATTTAACCTCCATTTCCCTCAGTTTTCTCAAATGAAAAATGGGGGAAACAGCATCAAAACAGCTCCCGCTTCATAGGGTTTTTGTGAAGATCAAATGAGACAATATTTCTAGAGCACTTTTCACAGTGCCTAGTACATAGCAGGGGCTATATAGAGAGAGGTGCTTATTCCCTTCTCTTTTTCTCTCTCTCTAAGACCAAAATCACCCCCAAACTAGGTGAGGCTGCCCAAGTGGCCTTTACCTGGCAAAGGGGAATGCCATGATTCTTCTCCCCTGTAGAGATCTTTGGATTTGGTGCCCTACTGTGGGGCCTTCATATATTTTCTCTTCCACTCTCCCAGTGAGGAGATGATCTTCAATGCATTTTATTACAGTTTGGAATAGTCTATGAGGAAAGGCATCCTTCCGTGTCTCAAATAGAACTGTCTAAACCCCAGCACACAAAAAGTGTTGCCTTGTACCCAGTGGTATTTGGGTAAGTTTTTTTCCCCCTAAAGCCAAGTTAATTAGAATTACTTTGCTTTGAGTTCATGAAAAATCTTTGAGACAATTTGTGATGTCCTGGATTATGGGGGCAGAGGTGTGAGGGGAGAAGGAGTGGGAATTTCTTCTCAGGACATTTGAAAGAGAGCAGAGATAGTGATACAAATGACTGTGGTGGATTTTGGTTCCAAATCCTGGCTCTGCTGCTTATTACTAAACCTCTCCTCCTCTATAAAAATGAGGTTGGGATACGATGCTTTCTAGCTCTAAATCAGTGGTCCTCTGAATGACTACCTCAAACACCTTGGAGCTATACCCTGCCATTGAGACGGTCTCATTCGATCATCAAGCAGCCGTTCCCTAGCAGACAACAGTAAAGTTTGTCTCATGTTCTTCTTAGTTTCAAAGACACTTTGATGTTAAGCAAAGACGTCAGAAGCTCTTGGGATGGGGGTTTTATTTATTCTTCATCTTAGAGCTTAATATGGTTACTTTGTATTATTTTAATTTGGGGGCACTTTTTCTTATAAAACTTAATAAGTTATGCTTATAAAATGTTCATTTTTCTTTATCCTGATACTGTTCTCAGCAATTTAAAAAAGACATAGCTGAACACCAGTCTCTGACTGAGAGTGTCTTACAGAAAGGGGAAATCCTGCTCCAGTGCTTGTTGGATAATGCATCAGGTGAGATGTTGGACATTTTACTTCATAAGACCATAGCTAATGTCACTCTTTTCTCAAGAAAGCAGTATCTAGAACTGATATTTATTCTGTACAGAGATAAGAAACCTACATTGTATAAGCCCTGGATCATATGCCGTCAGATCCCCATTGACTCCCCTTATAGTAGCTAAACGTCTGTACTACTCGTCTTTCCCTTGCACTTCCTGTCTGTTGCTTAGTCTTTCCACTTAAAAACATAAAAGTGTATCTTTGCTTTGGCTCTGAAAATGGGAAATTTTCATGGCGGAGTCAAAGCAGTGACTTGCTTGAGCCTCTCCCCCAAACCCCTCCAAATACCTGTAAAAAATGACTCTAAACAAATTCTAGAGCAGCAGAACCCACAAAAAGAAAGAGCGAAACAAATTTCCAGCCCAAGACAAGCTGTATAGTTGATAGGGAAGGTCTATTGCACCAGGCTGGGAGAGGAACAGAGTTCAGCATGGACCATTGAGGCGAAGACAGGGCCAGAGGACTGAATCACAGGAAGTTGTGACGGTTTTGAGACTTCTTAACCCTCAAATGCCAAAGACAACTTAGAAGGTCAGTGGTAAAGGTCTGTTGGACCTGGGTGAGAGGAGCAAAGTCCAGCCTTGGCCCTAGCACAGCCCTGGGAGGTGGCCACAGCAGGCAGCAGTTGCTTCTGCAGGTCTTGGCCCACAGATGGTGGGGGATCAAGTGGCTGATCAGAGGGGGACTGTAGGGATCTCTTTCCTGGTACTGAGGCAGGATTCTCTTGCTTTGCCCATACTGGGATCTGGATCACAGTCCTGGGTGGTGGTCCTGGGGTGAGAAGGAGCACTGGCATAGCAGAGCTTGTGTCAGCAGTGGAGAGGGAACCCTCCTCACAGTTCCAAGGCAGAAAAGAATGCTTGTGGTCACTCATAGAGCAGAGCACAGGTCAGGAAAAGAGTAAACACCTCTCCTTTGATCATACCGCCTTGGAAGAACTGAAACCTTACAGGTCCCTAGAAGTATCTCTGAAAATAGTTGTACAAAACACCTGAAGCTTAGGACAGTATGCCCTCCACACTGGAAGCAGAGCTCTACCTTAACAAAGAGAAAAAGTTAAGTAATTGGCTGGGAACATGAGCAAAGAGGCAAAAAACTCAAGACTATATAATCTTCTTACTTTGGTGACAAAGAAGATCAAAACGTACAACCAGAAGACAGCAAAGCCAAAGCTCCTACATCCAAAGCCTCCAAGAAAAATATGGCATGGTCTCAGGCCATGGAAGAGCTCAAAAAGGATTTTGAAAATCAAGTAAGAGAAGTAGAGGAAAAATTGGGAAGAGAAATGAGAGTGATGCAAGAAAATCATGAAAAATGGGTCAACAACTTGCTAAAGGAGACCCAAAAAAATACTGAAGGAAATAACACCTTAAAAAATAGACTAGACCAAATGGCAAAAGAGGTCCAAAAAGCCAATGAGGAGAAGAATGCCTTAAAAAGCAGAATTGGCCAAATGGAAAAGGAGGTCCAGAAGCTCACTGAAGAAAATAATTCCTTAAAAATTAGAATGGAGTAAATGGAAGCTAATGACTCTATGAGAAATCAAGAAATTATAAAACAAAACCAAAAGAATGAAAAAATAGAAGACAATGTGAAATATCTCATTGGAAAAACAGCTGACCTGGAAAATAGATTCAGGAGAGAGAATTTAAAAATTAATCAACTACCTGAAAGCCATCATCAAAAAAAGAACCTAGGGGCAGCTAGGTAGCACAGTTGATAGAGCACCGGCCCTGAAGTCAGGAGGACCTGAGTTCAAATCTGGCCTCAGACCAAACACTTGACAGTTACTAGTTGAGTGACCCTGGGCAAATCACTTAACCCCAAATTGCCTTTAAAAAAAAAAAAGACATCTTTCAAGAAATTATCAAGGAAAACTGCTCTGATATTCTAGAACCAGAGGGTAAAATAGAAATTGAAAGAATCCACCAATCACCTCCTGAAAGAGATCCCAAAAGGAAAATCCCAGGAATGTTATACCAAATTCCAGAATTCCCAGGTCGAGGAGAAAATATTACAAGCAGCCAGAAGAAAAACAATTCAAGTATTGTGGAAACACAATCAGGATAACACAAGATTTAACAGCTTCTACATGTAGGGATCAGAGGTCTTGGAATATAATATTCCAGAGGTCAGAGGAGCTAGGATTACAACGAAGAATCACATACCCAGCAAAACTGAATATAATCCCTCAGGGGCCAATGAAATAGAGGACTTTCAAGCATTCTTTATGAAAAGACTAGAGCTGAATAGAAAATTTGACTTTCAAATACAAGACTCAAGCATGAAAAGGTAAACAGGAAAGAAATCATAAGGGACTTATTAAACTGTTTACATTCCTGCATGGAAAGATGATATTTGTAACTCATGAGACCTTTCTCATTATTAGGGTAGTAGGAGGGAATATATATATGTATAGACAGAGGGCACAGGGTCAGTTTAATATGAAGGGATAATATCTAAAAAATAAAATTAAGGGATGAAAGAGGATTATACTGGGAGAGGGGGAAAGGGAAAGGTAGAGTGGACTAAATTATCTCACATAAAACAGACAAGAAAAAGCTTTTACAGTGGAAAGGAAGTGGGGGAAGATGAGAGGGAACGAGTGAATCTTACTGTCATTGGATTTGGCTTAAGGAGGGAATAAGCGGACACACTCAATTGGATATGGAAATCTATTTTACCCTACAGGAAAATAGGGGGGAAGGGAATTAGAGAGGGGCGGATGATAGGGCAGATTGGGGGCATTCAGAAGCAAACACTTTTGAGGAGGGACAGGGTCAAAGGAGAGAATAGAATAAATGAAAGGTGAGATAGAATGGAGGGAAATATAGTCAGTCTTTCACAACATGACTATTATGGAAGTATTTTGCATGACTACACATGTATAACCTATATCGAATTATTTGCCTCCTCAACGAAAGTGGGTGGGGAGGGAGGGAGAGAATTTGGAACTTAAAAGTTTTAAAAACAAATGTTAAAAATTGTTTTTACATTCAACTGGGAAATAAGATATATAGGCAAAGGGGTATAGAAATCTATTTTCCCCTACAGGAAAGTAGACGGGGAAGAGGATAAGAGAACGGGGCGGGGAGTAATAAAAGGGAAAGCAGATTGGGGGAAGTGGCATTTAGAATGCACACCATCTTGGGGTGGGAGGAGGGAAAAGATGGGGAGAAAATTTGGAACTCAAAATCTTGTGGAAGTGAATGTTGGGTTTGGTTTTTTTTTTGGCTAGACAGTGGGGTTAAGTAACTTGCCCAGGGTCACATAGCTAGTAAGTGTTATGTGTCTGAGGCCGGATTTGAACTCAGGTCCTCCTGAATCCAGGGCCGGTGCTCTATCCACTGTGCCACCTAGCTGCCCCAGAAGTGAATGTTGAAAATGAAAAATTAATTAATTTTTTAAAAATGGGAAATTGAATCTGCTCTTAACAGTATTTGATGATTATTTTTTTGTCCACTGGAAGCTTGTTTTTTTATAGGAGCCAGTATGATTATGTAAGGGCAAATAGTTTATGTCTTCAGTCTAGAGATATACAGGTACTTCATAGACAAGGGGAGGATGATGAGTGGGCATATAGTGGCCATGGAAAATATGGGACCAACTGCTGCCAGTTTTATGGACCAAGTAGAATATTTACTTTTTAGAGTCAGGGTCTGTGAAGGAATTAAAAATGGACCTAGAGGTTTAAAAGTACATTTGATCAAAAAACAGATTTTTATACTCAGCATTGTGCTAGGAGTGTTGTGTTGTGTTAGAGTAAACAAAAGTATGAACCCTGATCCCAGCCTATAAGAAGCTTACAGCGTAATTGGGGATACAAATACATCCAATACAAGGGAACCTTCTATCTCCTGAGGCAGTCCATCCTATATATAAATTGTTCTAATTTTTAGAAAGTTCTTTCTTTTTTTCTTTTTTTATAAATTTGTTCCTTTTTTTTCTTTCTTTGGTGAGACAGAGTTAAGTGACTTGCCCAGGGTCACACAGCTGGTAAGTGTCAAGTGTCTGAGGCCAGATTTGAACTCGGGTCCTCCTGATTCCAAGGCTGGAGCTCTATCCACTGCACCACCTAGCATCCCCTAGAAAGTTCTTTCTAATATCAAGCCTACATTTTGCCTGTGATTTCCATCCATTACTACTAGTTCTGCCCAGTTTGCTGTTGGTGAAGCTGAGAAGTCAAACCGTTGTCTTTAGGCTCCAAGTCTTGTACTCTTTCAGTCTCACATATTGCCTTGCCAGTAGACCAACAAGGCTCAGTTATGTAGTCTGTCACCAAGCATTTCTTGGCACCTACTATATGCTAGGCACTGTGCTAACCACTAGGGATTCCAAAAAAGGGCAAAAAGACAGTTCCTGCTCTCAGGGAGCTCACAGTCTACTGGGGAGACATTATACAAACCAGTGTATACATACAAGATGCAGGATAAATTGGAGATGATCAACAGAAGAAAGCCACTAGCATTAAGAGGGATTAGGAAAGGCTTCTTGTAGAAGGTAGTGTTTTGAAGAAACCCAGAAGAGCCAGGAGGCAGAAATAAGGAGAGAATTCCAGGTAAGGAGGAGAGGCTGTGAAAATGCCCTTGGCTTGGAGAAAGTGTGTCTTGTTTGAGGGACAAGGAGGCCAGTGTCACTGGATTGTAGAGTATATGGGAGTTTGTATGGTGTGAGAATACTGGAAAGGTAGGAGGGGGCCAGGATATGAAGAACTTTCAACATCAAGCAGAGGATTTTGTAGCTGATCTTGAAGGTAATAGGGAGCTATTGGATTTAACTGAATGGGGGGGGGCCATGGGTGACATGGTTAGACCTGAACTTTGGGAAGATCAGTTTGACAGCTGAATAGAAGATGAATTAGGGCAGAGAGACCAACCAGCAGGCTATTGCAATAACTGAGGTGTGAGGTGATAAAGGCCTACACTAGAGACATGACAGCATCAGATGAGAGA